TTGGTTCTTTGAAAGGGTTAATAAAATTGACACCACAGGCAAACAAAAGATATAAGTAACTCTAATAAGAAATTAAAGAGACTACACTCCAAAAAAGCCATCAGAAATTAAATCAGTAATACTGGAATATTATGAAAAAATATACTCAGATAAATTTGAAAAGCTAGAAAAAATGGTTAACTTCCTAGAAACCCCACACCCTACCCAAACTGACACAGACAGAAGTGGAACATCTGAACAGACATATCACAAAAGAAGAAACTGAGCAGGTAAAAAAAAAAAAAAAACTCTCCCTAAAAATAGTTCTGGCCCAGATGGCTTCACAGTTGAATTCTACCAAACATTCAGAACAAAAATATAGCCAACTCAGATTATTTTAAAAATCAGAAAATAAGTAACACCCTCAGAGCAATTCTATAAAGCAAGCCTAACCTTGATACCAAAACCAGTTAAATATATCACAGAAAAAGAAAACTATGGATCAATAGCTCTCATGAACATAAAAGGAAAAATTCTTATAAAAATCTTGGCCAGCAGAATCCAACAATATATAAAAAAATAACTCATGATAACCAAGAAGGATTTATAAGAGAAATGCAGGGATGGTACAATGTAAGAAAAACAATGGAATTCATCACAGTAACAAAGCAAAGAATAAGAAGCACAGGACTCTTATCAATTGATGCAGAAAGGGCCTTTGACAAAATCCAATGCCTCTTCCTGATAAAAGTACTCAGCAAAATAGGACTAGAGAGGAGTCTCCACATAGTGAAAAGTTGTTGCTGTTGTTGTTATGTGCTGTTGAATGAAAAGTATACAAGCAAAACCAAATGCCAACACTGTTCTCAATAGCAAGAGACGAAAGACATTCCCCTGTGAACAGCAAGGTTGACCACTATCTCTACTCTTATTTAATACTGTATCAGAAGTTTGGCTAGGTCAGTAAGAGGAAAAAATAAGAGGCATTTAAATTGGCAAAGATGTGGTGAAACTGTCACTATAAATAGATGACATGATAGCATACAAAGAAAACCCAAAGACTCAAAGACAAAAAAACTATTAGACTAACTAGAACAATTCAGTAGAGTGGCAGGATATAAGATCAACATACAAAAATCAGGCTCAATGCAATCCCAATACACAGCAAATTCATTCCTCAAGGAGAGAGAAAAAGAAATTTCCAGTTTCATTTGGAGAGGAGAGACCCAGAATAAACCAAGTTATCCTGAAATTAAAAAAATGAAGTTGGAGGCATCTCACTTCCTGATCTCAAAATACACTATGGAGCCATCATAATCAAAACAGCATAGTACTGGTACAAAACAGACATATATTTCAATAAAAATAGAATCAAGAATCCAGAAATCAACCCATCAATCCATAGTCAACTGACAGTTGACAAGGTAATAAAACTCATTAAGTGGGGAAATTACATCTTCTTTAACAAATCGTGGTAGAAAAACTGGACATCTACCTATAGAAAACTGAAACAGGATCTCACACCATACACAAACACCAATTCAAAGCAGATCTGAGAACAAGGGGTAAAACCCCAAACCAGAAAGATGACTAAGAGACAAAAAGGAAACAGTTATCAGAAGCCCTAGGCTATGGCATAAATAGGTTTGCCAACACAGCAAGGAATGCTAAGCCCAGAGAAGATAAAATCCAAGGCTAAGACTGTCTTAAAATCAAATCCCTGTGTACATCAAACACTTTCTCCAGAAGGATGGAAAGAAAGCCCTTGGACAGAAAAAGTGACATTTCAGACAAGGGTCTCATAACTAAAGAGTACAGAATAGGATTATAGAGCCTCCACAAGAAAGAAGACTGATAACCCAATCACAAACTGGCAAAAGACCTAAAAAGACACTTCACAAGAAGGACAACTCGATGGCCAAGAAACACATGATCAAAATCACTACCAATCAGAACAAATCAAATCAATGAGACAGGAGCACTGGCAATGTTTAACAGCACAGAAAACAATAAATGGTTGGCAAAATTAAAAAACTATCTGTAGAAAACTTAAGCAA